TCAATTAATGGCCTCTTGTCCCCACCATGATGCTCTGAAGATATTTTCTGCTACTACAAGGGGGGGTTTGTGGCATTATGTTTAACATGTCAAATTCTTCTGGGTCAAATTTTGAAGACCGAAATATTGCCAGAAAGATGGGATATTCCAGTTTTTATTCAGTAGCAGAATCTTCAGAATGCCATTTTAGCCACTATTAGCTTTATTCTTTAATTTTTTTTTTGTTTTAGAAAATGAATGTTTTAATTTTTGAGCAAACTGTGAGGAATTATTTCCAGCTATTTCAGTATTGTTCAGTGGTATTGCTAATCCAGTTCTACTATACACTGCATTATTCTGTGTACTGCTTAAAAACTACCCAAACATGTGGGGTCAAAATATCCTGCTTCTACCTGAATTTGGCCTGGTCTTTGTAAAGGAAATGACTTGCACTAACCCTCCCAGCCACTAGGGGGCTCACCTGAGCTCTCCAGAGCTCATCCCGCTCGTGAGCCACCCTCCAGTGAGTGTCGCCCATCATGGCAATAAGGAGGTTGAGCATGAGCAGTGTTGCGATGATGGCGAAGGCAGCATAGGTGATGCTGTACATGAAGGGCAGATCCACGTCATAGTTGGCAGGGCCATCGATGATGGTGAGGAACATCTCAAAGGTGCTGAACAGTGCCATGGGGTAACTGTAGAAATGGCCCAGCTCATCGGGGTTCTCTGTCTGGAAGATGATATAGAAGGCTGCTCCACCCAAGGGGGTGAGAGTTACCATGGTGAGTAACCATGGACATGACCAAACTCCATCCAGCTCTTCTCTGCCCATTTCCCTCATCTCCATAGCACCATCCGAGCCCTTCATCACTCTATACTTTGGGTTCTTAGGTTACCTTATTTTCCATATGGCTTATCCTTCTGATTCCAAGAGCCACCTCTCCCAAACACTCCCAGTTTTCCCTCATCTCTGAGGGATGTCCCATCCTCAGACACCATGGCCCCACTTACCTCCGCTGCCTCCTACTTTTCCCCAAGTTTATCCCAGCAGTTCTATGTTCTCTAAAATCCTCCAATCTCCCCCTCCCATGGTCCCCATCCTGAATAGATGATTTACCTGAGGTAAACCCCAGAATGACCACAGCCATCAGCCAGCAGAATCTCATCAAGTCACCAAAAATCATCTAAAGAGGGAAGGGAGAACATCACACCTGTCACTTGAGCCACTGCCCCTCCCATCCTCGAATAGGTTCTAACTGAAAATTCTCACAGCTCCACCCTATAAGACAGGGCTGGCAAACTATGGCTGTAGGCCAGATCTGTTTGGCCTATTTTAGTATGGCCCTTGGACTAAGAATAGTTTTTTATACTTTTAAAGATTTGGGGGGGGGGAATGGGGGGAGAAGGAGGAAGAAGAAAAGAATATACAACAGAGACCATAATGTGGCTCACAATGCCCGAGATATCATCTATTATCTGGCTCTTGACAGAAATGTTTGCAGCCTCTTCCCTAGGACCTTTTTCTAGGAAGCTTGAAGGGAGACACGAACCTTCTGGATCATGATGGTGAAGGGGCCCAACATCTGGAATCCTCGGGCGAAGTACATGACATTGCACCAGCCCAGTACCAGGGCAAAGGACATGGGCACCACCTCCCCACTGGTGTTGGTGAGCCTCATCACCATGGTTACCAGCACCATGAAGGCATAGGTGATGCTGGAAGGAGAGCAGAGAAGGGGTGATGAGAGGGTTCTGGGATTATCCTGGGGACCCAAGAGCAAGAGTGTGACTGAGACAGGACCCACACACTCAGATTCAGTCTTCGCAAGCTCAATAACCAGGGTCACACACATCACTTGAGAGGGCCCTGTGGGGTTAAGGTTCTGTAGGGTCAGGAATCCAGGAGGCAAAACTGGAGCCCTAGTGAGGGAAGGGATGGGAGTGAGGAAGGAGACTCACATGAGGACATGGAATGGCCCCCCAAGGATGGTATGTCCAAAGAATTGAGTGACCCCCACCCTGAAGATGTCTGGAATCTAGAGAGACACAAAGGCACTTATTGGCCAGGGCTCAGGCTAGAACCTTGGATCAGACAGTCCCACCCCAGACCCAGTCCACACCATACCTCTACAATCAGGATGAACACAGCTCCAATGACAGTTAACAGTTCCCCCACCAGTCGGATAGCATCCTGGGGGGTCACATAGGCCTCCTGGGGGAGAGAAACATGGTCAGTACTCAGGGTTTTCAGGCATCTGCCCTGCCTGCCCCTGGTCAGAAGTCAGTGTCCTTGTTTGATTTTTCCTTTTAAAAAATATTTTTTTTAAATTGACTTTTAGAGAAAGGAAGAGAGAGAGAGATCAATTTGAGAGCAAAACATTAATTTGGGCATGTTCATTGACCAGGAATTGAACTGGCAACCTTAGAGTGCACAGGGATGATGCCCAACCAAGGGAGCCAGTGCTCCATTCTTTTTAACCTGTTTGGCTAGCTCCAACTCCACTCTTTGAGTGTTATGTGTGTTTCTGCATGTGTGTATTTTGAGTTTGTGCCTATGCGTTTGAGACCTGGGTGAAGGGAAAGGTGTGGGTTTTAGGACAAGTGATAACAAGTCTGAGAAAGGGGAGAGAGTGGATCCTGCCCAGAAACTCAGCTGCTCCTAGTGGTCACCTGAAGGAGCTTCTGCTGCAGGAGGGTGTTGTCCCTGGGCTGTGTGCGGTTATCAGTCCTGGGCTTCAGGGGGCGGTAGATGCAGCACATGGTGAAGCAGATGATGTAGAGTACATACAAGGCACCCAGCAGGCAAAAGTAGGGTCGCCCGTATCTCTTCCACTTGAGGCTCACCAGCTCCTTCACTGGTGTCTGGTCCAGGATCTGGCGAGCCTGCATCAGGAAGAGAACAGAACAAGTGGCTCCGAGACCCTGATGTCCCTCCCCAGCCACTCTCTGACTTGAACTCTTTTTACCTCCCGCTTCTTGGTGGTGACAATAAGTTCCAGCAGTGATGGTTCATCCCCCAAGGAATCGATCTCTGTGAGATCATAGAGGGTATAGGTTGTCAACCCAAATGTCCCCTGGCTGTGCTTCCACTTCTGCATCAAGTGATTGAACATCTGGGGGAGGGGGAACACAGAGTCAGGAGGAACTGGTAAAGGGGAGGGTCACAGGGTGGGAGTGAGGAGCAGGTCCAGGAGAACAGCATCCCTGGAAAGGGTGGCTGCCCTTCAGTCAATGATCACAGCCTTTGGGGCAGAAAGACCCATGTTTATGCTGACCCCTGGATTGCTTTCTGACTCCCTGGGTTGCTTTACTCCCTCTAGAACTTGGGAAGAGGTGAGTCTGCTGCCCATGAACTGGAAGTGTGGGTGGATGTGGGCATTACAAACCACCATAGCATGAGAGCTAGACTGTAGCCTCCAACACCTCAGAAAGGAGAAAGTGGGCAAGAAAGGGTCAGGAACAAGGGAGACGGGGGCTGAGCAAACACTTCCAACCTGAAAATGGGAGCTAGGCATCAAGGATGAATGTTTACATCTATTTCCTCAAAGGGCTAGAAGTATAGGATGGGGCCATTAGAAGGACACCTTGGGGTTGGAGGGTGTCCCTCACCACAGTATTGCCCTCCACTCCAGCCAGCTTGAAGGGGGTGAGACCCTGGTGGTTGGGTACAAGATCCAGGGACTGCAGGTGGCCCCCACGTTTGTCATAGGACAGCAGCAGGTTGTACATCTGGCAGGCAAAGGTCTTGTTGGGCTGGAAGACGAGGATGTGCAACACTGTGTTTCCTGGGGAGGACACTGGTGTCATGTGGTTACTGGACCCTAGTCCCCGACAGTCCTCATGCCCACCCCAGAGTGGTCCTGACCATTGTCCCAGACCCTCCCCTCCCATTCCCTGTCTGTTCCCCAGGTCCTTTCCACACTCCAGTGCTTACCCAGGGAGTCCTGGGCCCGGATGTTAGCTCCATGTTCAATGAGTAGACGCACGATCTCCTCACTGCCCATGCAGGCAGCAAAGGACAAAGGATGCTCCCCTGGGGAAACAGAGAGCTCCATGGCATGAGTGCAGGCTGGGATGGGCATCTCCCTAGTGACTGCCTGTTCCTCCACACAGCTCAGGTCTGGGCTTGGGGACACTTGTCAGCAGAACCAGAGGCAGGGATGGTGCAGAGGCCCTGGGGGAATGGGCTCTGGCCTTAAGCCCTATAAGGGCTGACCCCAGTCCACTCCACCCCCTCAGGCACAGAACTCTCCTCATTCCATCCTCCCCTGGCTCTTGCCTGCCACCTACCTCCCCTTCCCCAGCCCTGGCTCTGGTTCTCACCAAAGTAGATGTGGCTGTGGGGGCTGAGGCGGAAAGCTGTTCCTGTAGCTCTGGCAGAGACGTTGGCCCCGTGGGCGAGCAGGGCTCGCACCAAGTTCACATTCTGGTTCATGATGGCCACGTGCAGTGCAGTCTGACCTGGTTCAGAGAGAGCCCTCAGGCATGGGGTCTGTCCTCAGGATTGTGCAGGGTCAAGTAGATATGGATGGGCCTGATCATTGTCCCAGCCACTCCTCTCCCACCCCCTTCCTATTCCCTAGGTCCTATACCATATCTTCACATGATCCTATACTAGGGCAGCCTAGGGGGTGGAGACAGAGAGCCCTGAGCCAGGCAAGGTTCCCAGGGTATCCAGCCATAGCCCCCTTTTTCCCATTCTCTAGGTCTCTCCATTTGGGGGGTTGGTGCTCTAATGCCATGCCATGAGGATGACAAGGCAGAAGGGAAATGGGAAAGGGAATAGGGAAGTAGTGGGGCTCAGGTTCCCTCTTTGGTTTCCCCAAGTTATCCATCACAAAGTCTGACTTGAAATATCCAACAGGTCTCCCCTTCCCTCCATCTCTGGCCCCTAGTTCCTCACCCTCATACAGCTCAGATGTCATGGGCTCCAAGACCAGCTCCGGGGCAGCCTCCATCAGCACCATGGCAGCCTCCAGATTGTCATAGAGGGCTGCTATGTGCAGCGCTGTCTCCCCCATGACTCCTGAACAGAAAGAAGAGGCATGGGGCTTCTAAGGTCAGGGGAATGGGAACAATAGTGTCTTAGGGGCCCATAGCAGAAGGTCCTGGGCTATCCTGGGGAGCCACTCACATGCAGCTGATCCAGAAAGAGTTGGGTGCTGAGGGCTCTGCTCCTTTCTTACCTCTTTGGTGCACCTCACAGGCCTGATATTCGAGCAGCTTGTTGAGAGTCTGGACATCATTCTCTTTGGCAGCTAGAAGGAAAGGACACCCCAAGATCCTACAAGGAAATGGGATCAGAAAGGTATCAGTAGTGAGCATGCCCAGTGATGGGGTGACGAGTGAGGAATTGCTTGATTGTATGTAAACACGTGGACCTCAGTGATAACAAACCCCAAGGTCCCTGGTTCAGGGAATTGAGGCCATTGGGGTGCAAAGAGTTTCTGATCTCTTTTTTTCCTGACCAGTTAGCCCAAAACTCAGTGACTGGTTTCTACATCTCCCCCACCCCGCCCCCTGCCAGGGTGTGGGCACCAGAATGTATGTACATAGCAGGCATGGAGGGGAGGAGCTCTACTTAGGCACTCACTCATCTCTTGAACTATTGACTTCTGGAACAACCCTGATTCAGCCTTCACTGAGTGTCCTGAGATGACCCTCCATGATAAGCCTTGTTTTCAAGGACAAGGAATACAAGGCATTCCTCCCTCTTGTTTGTGGAGGAAGTCAACACGCAGAGGTTAGCAGGTTTTCTCCTGTTGCATGGTGCTCTGCTTCCTCGACCTTCTCAGCGAAACCCTTTGATCCTGGCTCTTCCCTCCCTGTACCAGCATCTTTAGGGTTCAACCCAAAAGGAATAGTGCAGCCTTTTTGTTTTTCTGGCAGATTATAGTCTCTTCCTACTTCCTATCTGTTTCTCACTTATTTTAAGCAAAAATTATCTTCTCTGACTCCTCAATCCTCTCTTAAGTTTAATTCCTACAATGAACTCAGAAACATATATATATATTTTAATTTTTTATTAAAACTTACTTTAACTAAGACACTTGGGACCCCTTTCATTCAATTTTCTCTCTCGACCCAGAGCCATGGGGTCTTTCCATGGAAGTGAATGAAATAACCCTGTTTATCCAGAGATGGCCAATTATGTGACAAAGAGAGAGCCAGACGGGTGCTCACACACCTGGTGGCGGCAGGAAACCCACTCCAGTGCTGGGGGTAGGAGTGCAATGGGAGAGGAGGATTGAGCCCCGGACACATCTCCCAAATGCTAGCCACAGCCCCCTCATGCCACATAGGCAGCTCCTGGCCCTGCCAATTCACCATCGAATTCTTTCTCCATTCAATCCCTACCTCCTCATCCTGTCTGCCCCTCATTAATTCATGTCCTCATTCTCTAACCCAAGATTAGCAAAGTACTCTCCTAACTAGTCTCCCCAAACCTGTTTACCCCCAGTTCACATTTTTCAATGCTGCCAAGATACTCTCTTTAAATGGCAATTGCAATCACAGCTTACAAAAGTTCAATGGGTCTTTAAATGCCCAAGGAGAAGGGACCCTTTACAGTTTCTGGGCAACACTTTTCCATGCTCTTTTCCTCCCACTTACATCTCCCAGCCAGCATTTTGGCCTCACCACCTGTGCCATGCCCTGCTCTCACCTGATATGTACCCCCCCAACCCAGTAATTGCCTCTTCCATGTCCCAAGAATAAGTGCCCAGCCTATAGTAGCCATCCCCACTCTCTGTAGAATGAGTGAATAAGGAGCATGGTTTGACCTCACTGCCCCTTCTTATTATCTTTATTGGCCATCCCCAAGCCAACCTTAAGCTAACATATAATCTAAGCAAAAAAAAAAAAAAAAAAAAAAAAATAGTATTCTCAGTATGCAAACAGCTGCAAAACAAGTTTGCTATGTTCCCCTTCACCACATCTACCACCTTCTCAACAATTTGGCCAAACCCCTCCTCTATAAATATCCTAGAGTCAGCACTACGCAGGCACACAGATGGCCTCCCAGGAAGATTTGCACTCTCTCCTCAGGTGTACTTTCTCTTAGCATGTGTGTTGTAATTAGTATCTATCTCTTCCTCTGTACTAAGGGGACTTGAAGACAGCGATCAGTCACTTTCTCATCTCTGTATTCTTTCCCTGGCCTCTTCCAATTAGCTTCTACTCTTGTGTCCGGCTTTGACTAAATGTGTGAAAAATTAACAGCAAAGCTAGAGATGGGTCCCAGGGCTCTTCTTACCCAAGTTCCAGCTTTATCATAGCTCCCTACCTCCTCGGGCAGCAGTTCTCAATCTGTGGGTCACGACCCCTCTGGCAGTTGAATGACCCTTTCACAGGGGTTGCCTAAGACCATCCTGCATATCAGAAATTTACATTACGATTCATAACAGTAGCAATATTACAGTTATGAAGCAGCAACAAAAATAATTTTATGGTTGGGTCACAAGATGAGGAACTGTATGTAAAGGGCCAGAAGGTTGAGAACCACTGTCCTAGGGTATGTGTGCGGAGGCTAGTTGGTGGCAGGCCCAAAGATATATATTCCTTTTGGTCCCTACACATATCTGAAGCCAGTAAACAACCTCCATAAACGTCCTCTGTGTTCACTTCCTTGCCTCTGCTGACGGTCCTACTGGGCCTGGAAAAGTCAAGGAGTGACTGTCTGACACAGGCTTGCCAGGTCTACCAAGTAAAAATATGGGATGCTCAGTTCCATTTGAATTTTAGACACACAACATATAATTTTTAGTGTAAGTTTGTCCCATACAATATTTGTGACAAACTTATACGAACAGCATATTATCTGAAATTGCAATTTAACTCAGTGTCCTGGACTTATCTCGCAAGCACAGTCAGACCACACTCTGCGTGAAGAACCAGCTTAGAACCCAACCCAGCAGGGTTTGTAGAGAACTGGCCTCCTCTTGTTGGCAAACTCCAGAATCCAGCAAAAAGGGGGGCAGCCTGTCAATGGTTCTGAGGGGATCAGGCAGAGCCGTTACTTGCAATAGCATCACAGGACCACAAGGGGACAGCAGAGAAAGCCTTTGCTCACATTCTTGGCAGGAAGGGGGTCCCCCAAAACACCTGACTATCCTTGGGTCCCATAAAAAAGACGCAAAAGCAGACCCATCCAAAGATTCTTATGCCTGAAGCACTGGTCATTTCTTTTATAGCAATCCAGCCTAGAAGTTTAGATCTGGAGCAAACTCAACACATCTTCACCAGATAGCTGCCAGACCCTCCCCGGGGCAAGGAAGAGGAGGCGATACGGAAGAAGTATCTTCCCATTTGAATGGTTAGATTATACTCTCTCCCTTCCAGGGGGAAAATGTCACTTTGTTTAGCAGAATACTTCACAATATTACTGGAATCCCCTAGCTACAAACAGTAGTTTAGAGCAAGGGTTCTCAAACAGGGGTGATCCCTGGCCTCCTCCCCAAGGAACCTGGCAATGTCTGGAGACATTTTTGATTGTTGCAACTGGGGAAAGAGGTACTATTTTATTTCAGTGGTTGGAGGATGGGATGTTGTTAAGCATCTTATATAAGCAGCTTACCATAATAAAGTATTTTCCTGCCCGTCATGTCAACAGTGCCAAGGTTAGAGAAACCCCAACTTAGAGGTATAATTATTCATAAGCCATCTTTTAAAAAGCATGCTTCACATTCAAAAGGATGAGAAATGCCTTATACATACATGTTTTCTTACACATCATTAAACAAATAGGTGAAGCCTTTTAAGCACCCATTGATTAAGTAGCAACACAAAATTATAGAGCGAATCTGCAATTATGACCATATGAAAGGTGTCTGCAGGATTTAGACAATGTTTTATTTTGTGGGACAATTATTTATCAAATTGATAAATAGTTCTACATTAGACTGGTGCAAACCTCATTACAAGGTCCCTGGCATACAACCTAGCACATTCTTCATAAACAGATCTCCCCCTCGGGGTTCCCTCCGGCCACCAAGTGAGAATCTCCCACTTCTCTTCTCCCAGTTCCCACCACCTGTGCTCTCCCCCTCCATTCCTGAGCATGTGTGCCTGCCTGTGTGTATGTGTCTACCTGTGTGTGTGTGCATGCTCATGTGTGCGCAGGGTGCACAAGTGGAGTTTTGTATTTGGTTGCTGGGAAACAGGGCAGAATCAAGAGTGTCTGCAGGAGAATTGAGATCAGGATTTTAGAGCAGGGAAGTCAGTAGAAAGAAAACTAGTTTAATTTGTTAATGCAACAGATGGAGAAAGAGGCCTGGAGTCTGAGGTGACTTGTCCTAACAAGTCAGAGGCAGAGCTGGGACGAGCGTCCTATTTGTCATTTCTCTGTCCCCATTCTCAGTGTTAATCAGGGCTTGAAATGGGGTTAGAAAAGGCACAGGGGACTGTATGGACCTGTGTGGGTTTCACTGGTTTTGCCACAAGCAGCCTCTCACAGGAGGCATGGGAGACTGTCATTTGGGAAGGGAAGGGCACGGACAACATGGTGGCTCAGAGTTTGGTTCCAGAATGAATATGGTTCTGACAGGAGGAAACTGACAGCCCCTCTAAGTTCCTGCCATCACGGGAGGCGCCCTTTTATTGTGTGGATTTTGTTTATCACAATAATCCCACGTTAAATGTGCTTTTCAGCTTCCAAATCAGCATCTCGCTTATGCTCCCTCTTGCTCCTTACAGCCCTGCCACCCAGGCTGAATAATGCTCTCACTTTTCAGAAAAGGAAATTGAGGCAGCATAGCCAAATCATGGCTGGAGGATCACACAGAGTTAAAGGCAGAATGCTTCACCAAGAACCTAGCCTGAGGCGCTCACCACTAAATTATGTGGTTCTTCAAGTTTTATGACTCTTCCCAGGGGGAGGGGGCAGCCCAGAGCAGTGACCACAGATGAAGGAAACTGCAACCACGTTTGGGGAGGAGACACGCACTGGCCACTCATGGGTCACCTCCCTCTAGGTCAAGTTCTTGACAATGGAATGAGGTTCAAAGCTTCCAGGAAAGTGGCTGTTTCCAGACTTGGAGTCGGGCCACCTTTCTATCTGCCAGAACTCCATCAAGCACGTCGGTAGCCCCGTGTGCCTGCAAGGATGCATGTGCGTGTGTTTACTGAGGCAGGGAGTCCGGAAATGCTGCGAAGTCCCAGGGCTTGCTTTTCATGGACACGTCAGTTCACATATATTTACAGGTGTCTATCTAAACAGAGGAGAACCTTCAGTGTTCATTGCCTTCCCGAATACTAGTGGGAGGGCGACTGTGCAGCAAGGGGGCCAGGTGTAAGGCTCAGGTTAGACAGCCTCTGGAAGCTGCCCAGCACACACCAGCTGAAATCAGACACCACAGCGTCCATGGCTCTGTCCACACCCCTTTCAGGAGCTCACCAAGCATTGACAAGTAGATGCATATTGGTGTATTTCATCCATGAGAATCTGAGCTCCCAGAGAGCAGGGAAGGTGCCATGTTCATTTTCTAAAAACCTAGCAGAGTAGTTTCTGCTCAATGAATGTTTAGGGCACTGAATGTCGGGAAAGACAACTCAAGGCCCAGGGAGAGACAGTTCAGGAGAAAAGGGAGAGTTCAGCTTGGATGGCAATGACAGGGATTCACCCAGAGTGGGCTGCATGACTGAGATACAAGAAAAGCCCACTGTGCCTGGCTGGTGTGGTTCAGTGGTAGAGCGTCAACCTATAAACCAGGAGATCTCGGTTCAATTCCCGGTCAGGGCACATGCCCGGGTTGCAGGCTCAATCCCCAGTGTGGGGTGTGCAGGAGGCAGGCAATCAGTGATTCTCTCTCATCATTGATGTTTCTATCACTCTCTCTCCCTCTCCCTCTTTCTTCCTCTCTGAAATCAATATATATATATATATATATATATATATATATATATATGTATTTTTAAAGCCCACTGAGAAGAATGCTGGGTTCCCTATCAGCCTGAAGAGATCAGAAAGCCCTCCTCCTCACTGGACCATGCTACACCCTGTGGAATTCCCTTTGAGCCCTGGGCACAGATCCCCAAGGTCACTGCTTGCTTTCTCTGGGCCTGCCTCCTTCACAGGGAATAAAGCCTCCCTCCCACAGTTAGATCGGGGACTCTGAGATAAGATGGGTGCTGGTAACATTTTTGGCTACTTTCTTCCATCAGTGCACCCCCTGACCTGACTGAATTGTCCTCGTGTCCATGGATGTCCGGTATTTATCTAATTACTTGCATCTCCCCTTAGGCTAGGTGACTGCACAGCCTCATCCTCTCCCCTTCCTGGTTATTTCAGGGCCTCCTGGCTCCTGGTTGGGAAGACGAGGGCCAAGGAGCTGTGGAATGAGGCAGGGAGATCAGGAATGGAGGGGAACCCCTCACAGTGGTGACATCAGACCTTTCTAGTCCGAGATTCAGGAGGAGGCCCCCAGATGGTCTTAAGAAGAAATAGAACAGAAAGGACAAGTGGAAGCAGCCCTCTCACAGCCAGGCTGTGGTCCTTCAGAGACTCTGTCTGCGCCTCGCTTGGGCAAACAGGGAACTTCCGCCACTCCTTCCGAAATCCCAGGCCTCTCTGAGCTCTGTGTCTGGCTCCTCAGCCCTGGGGTCCTAAGAGTGGGAAGGGGATGAGTGGGACCAGTGATGGCCTCGTCTGCAACAACAACACCATTCTGTTGCCTCAAGATGTCATCAGCCAAACATGTGCTCAGCCCCAACTCTCCCAGGCCTGGGGGACAGAGGTGGGTGGCTGATGTGAGAGATGGGAAGCCAAAACTGGAAAAAACGGGGCTCATCCCAGCCCAGAATCCTTGAGCTAAAGAAGAAAACCCACAGAGGCTCTATGTGACCTCTTAGCCTTCTCTCTCCTGGTCAGGCTCAGGCAAGCCCCTCCATTTGCATATGGACACATAAAAGTTTATGCTTTCCCCTATGAATAGACATATTATCTGCCTTCTGAGGAGCTCAGGGAAACCCCAACAGGAGGATTTCCTTCAGGCATGCCACTGCCTGGGTGGGGCGGTCCATGTAGACTTTGGAAGACTACACACTGGGATGGCTTCAAGCTTCCTCCATGTCCCCAGCTCCCAACTCTAAGCTGCCAGGGATGATGGGTGGGGACATTTTCAGGGGCTGGAAGCAACAAGTAAAATTTCTTTAGGGCTCAACCTCTAGAGCCTCTCAAATTCCACAATCTGGACGAAGGAGTGGGTGAGCATGGGTCCTAAGTATATTTTGGCCAGTTTCCAGTGCCCTCTCCCCAAGTAGAGAATCATGGATTCTAGGCTGGGTCCCAGCTGTTCATCTTCAGACCCTCCCATCAGTGGCTATAGTAAATGCACAGGAATGATAACCATGATCACATTTGGGCTTTTTGGGGGGGTTCCTAGGGTCTGCAGATCCTCTCATTCATTCATTCATTCCCACATGCCTACGTATGTGTGCTATATGTTTCTGCCTGAGAGACTGTTCAAGGGAAAGGGAGTAGAGATATAAGGCATTGCTCTGATCCACCGGCACACCTCTAGTGGATGTCACAATCTCTCCAAGACCCAGCAAGTTGCCTGGCCATTAGGAAAGTACAGTGGACCCTTGAACACCGTGGGTTTGAACTATGGGGATCCACCTATAAGCAGATTTTTTTTTCAATGGACCCACTCAGTTCAATTGACAAGCACAGCTCAATGGACCCTGGCAGCTGAAACCCCATTGCTCAAGGGTCAATTGGCAGTTAAGAATCCTTGTACGTGGAGGGTCGACATCAGTTATTCATGGATTTTTGGCTACACCTTTCAGCTCCCCTAACCCCCACATCGTTCAAGCATCAGCTGCACTCCCAAGAAGCTGCCTAACTGACTTGGATCTTACAGATAGTGAGACCTGTGTGCACACCAGCCCTCCTCTTCCACCTGGAGCCCTGAGGCCCCACAGGCTGAGACTCTTGAGACAAAATGCTCCCAAGGGGCCAGGCATGGAGTACAGTCTGTCCAGACAGAGGTGCCAAACAAAGACAGAGAATGAGGAGGGGGAGGTGGGCTGAGAAAAGGGGAAGGAAGTGAGGGACACCGGTGTGTGTGTGGGGGGGGGGGGCAGGGGGGCGGCAGCAGCAGGTGGAGGCTTACCTCTTCTGCTGCAGCAGGTTCTGCTCATCTCGGCTCTGAGCCCAGGACTCCTGTCTCTGGAACCATCTGCAGAACTTTCTCCACAGGCAGAAAATGAGGCCCGTCTTCTTGGGCAGTGGCAACCCCATGTCGTGTAAGACAGGCTCCTTGTAGGGCTGAGGCAGAGACCAGATCCCGACTGAACTCCGCCTTGGTGCCACATTGGTCTCCCCAAGGGCCGGCCTGCCCTCTCCCTGCAGAGGTCCCATCTCCTACCTCCCTGGCCCTCACAGGAGTCTCGGGGAGGCGCCCCAGCCAGACTGCAGAGGGCTCTGAGTTTGTTACTCTTGGCAGAGCTGGGCCTCCCTCATTGGGCTCCTCAGGCAGGAGCTCCTCAAAGCGCAAACTCCCTCCCTCCTCCCAAATTACCTGAGATTTAAAGAGACAGGCCAGCAGCCCTGCCTGCCACCTGGGGCCTTGCGTAAACTCCTTCACCTTGGTCTGGCTCCCTGCCCCCAGGCCAGTCCAGGGAAGGAAGCTCCTCATAGAGACTGGATTGACCTCCTTTGGACTTTGGGACACCTGCTCACCTTTTATAGAAAGGTTTGGGAGGGTCAAACTAGGCTGAGAGACTCAGGCAGTGAAGGAGGCGGGAGGGGTCAGGCAGGCTTTTGGGGGTTGAGGGCCTCTCAAGTGAGCAAGGGAGTGAGCCCACCTTTCTCACAGGTCCTGTCCTTCTGCTTCCCCCCACCTTTTCCTGTGCGTCCATCCTGGGGACTTAGCTTTTCTTGACTCTTCCAATTTAATCTCCCACCGGCCTAGAATAGGTATACAGTATTGAGAACTCTTAGTCTCCTCACCTACTGGGGGTCAGAAAACTGTTCCTGTAAAGGGCCAAGAGAGTAAAGGCAAATATTTTAGACTTTCAAGCCCCAGAATACAGTCTCTGATCACATTCTTTTTCTTCTTCTTTTATTTTTTTTACAGCCCCTTTAAGATGTAAAATCCATTCTGGGTTCATGAGCTCAGACACAACCTGGAGTTGTGGCAGGACCTGGCCCCTGCACAGAGTTTGCAGCCCCCACTCTGGACCTCAAGACCCTCCCCAACACAACATATATGTAGTGGGGTGCCAAATAAAATACAGGATGCCAGTTCAGGTTGAATTTCAGATAACTTTTTTTTAGTGTAAATGTGCCCAAGTACAGTGGGGCTTTGACTTACGAGTGTCCCGACTAACGAGTTTTTTGAAATACCAGCTGTCTCTCAGCCGATTTTTTGCATTGAGTTGACAGAGTAATTTGAGTTAACGAGCTCCTTAACAGCTCCTTAACAAATTTCATAAGCCAAGGCCCCACTGTATTGCAAATTCTTTCTCTGGCAACCTCCAGCGGACACAGTGTTTATTCACCTGCTCGCTATTGTCTGCTAAGCCCTTAGCTAAGTGGTCCCAGGTAGGCTTATGTCATACCTATGAGGGGTGTTTATTACCTGCATTATACCAATGGGGGAAAAGCAAAGCTCAAAGTGGCAAAGTAGATCACCCAGGGCCACAGAGCCATTCAGTGTCCGAGGCCAGATTCAGACCCACTGGCTTGATGCAGAAGCCACATCTATCTACCCTACCACAGTCCCTCATTCCAACTGAGTTCCAGGAGGGAAAGGGAGCTACAGTCACAGTGATGAAGGATTGCAGAGAGCACAGCCCATCCTAGTCCCACACACAGAACTCTGCCATGTGTGAGCAGGGAGCCATTGTGAAGATCGGTTACTTCAATTTTTATGTTGGGAATAAACAGAGGCCATGGCATATGCAAAGTCCCACAGCGACCCAAAGACCCACTGGCCTGGCACCTGGTTACTCAGAGTCCCCGGTGTGTGGGAGCCACCCACTAGCTCCAGAGTTTATTTTGTTTTCTATGTATTCCTGGTTGAGGGGGGGGGGGGCAGAGAGAGAGGGGATGTATGGGGAGAAGCACAGCTTAGGTGCAGGGCAGGGTATCTCTGTGGGCGGGTGGAGGAAGGTCACTCTCAAAATGAAAGGAAAGCAAGGCTCCTGCCGTTGGCCCAGAGCCAGGCCAGAGCGCCCTGAGCAAACAGTGCCATTCGATTAGCTGCCTTCCCCACCCATCCAGGGTCAGCGGGTTCGGGCTGGGTGGGGGGAAGGCACTAGAACCCAAACCTTGAACCCAGGAACTTTGTGCCCATTAAGCCTGTGTTTGTCTGCCTGATGACCCACCCACCTTCTCTGTCCTGCTGGGCTCCAGCCAAAGCCCCCAGTGCAGTCCTGTTTGGGGAGAGGACAAGGCAATGTCGTGTTTGCATATGGGGGAAGAAGGCTACAGGAGGAATCAGTCATTCCAGACTTCTTTTTCCTCCTCCACCTGGCGCTTCCTTGTATGGGTCACCAGGACAAATGGGAAATTGCAAACAGACTGAAAATTGGTGTGAAGGCCTAGAGGGGAGGGGGCAGTTTACCAGATACTAGAGCTTCTACCAACAGTGTCCTCTCACCTCTTGGACCCAACATTATATGTTTGGACAGTGGGCAAAGGTGGGCCACAGGGTGGGTGACACTACCTACATGGGTCCTCTCACATCTTAAAGCCACATTCCCTGTACCCTCCTGGGATTATGGATTTTGGGGGGATAGGGAGCTTTACTGGAGTGTGGCCCAATCTGAGGAGTATGGCAGGCTACCCTGGCTCATGCCAAGCCATGCTGGGCAGCACCTCCCAACAGAGAAAACTCAGTTGGCTCTGCAGCCCAGAGTCCCAGACTTGAGGTCCAAATACAGGAGGCTGTAGGTGCAGGGGGTGAGGGGGAGGATGGGACGGTCACAGTTGCTAGCCTCATCTGGTGAGACTTGCCATCACACCCTCTCCAAGTCCCCTTGCCCAGACTCAAAATTTAAGAAAACTTTTATGACTACGGGCAAGTCATTGTCCCTCTCGATGGTCTCATCTATAAAGATGAGCATATGACTTGTGGTGGCTGGCGGTCATCCAGTCTGCCTTGACCTCATGGCAGTCAATCTCTGACCTAGTTTTAGAGGAATGAAGAGGTCAGGGCCCATGGGGGAGGGAGGACTGGAGGGTCAATGTTGACTGGGTCTGAAACAGGTTCTTCCTGCCTCAGGCTGAGCTTGAACTCTAAGCAAAAGTTAGGTCCTCAGGATTCAATGAAGGAGCCTGGGGGGAGGGTCAACCAGAGTCTGACCAGCCTCCTCTGAGGGCCACACTGGCATGGGCTGAAGGGGATCAGAGAGATGACATGTGTATGCATGTGTTGATACAAACAGGGCTGGGGCACAGCCGGATTGTGGCTGAGAAGTTGCCTACGGATTCCTACATTTGGGGTACCATTTCTCATCCTCGACACTATTGATACCTTGGAACAGAAAGCTCTGTAGTGTGGGGTTTGCCAGCATTGTAGGATGTTCAGCTGCCACTCACTGGGTGCCAGGAGCATTCCCTTGGCTCAGGGGTGACAATCAAGAATGTCTTCAGACATTGACTGTTGGCCCCTGGAGGGCAAAATCACTCTCCATTGAGAAACACTGATTTAGGGCAAAAAAGTGTATTCATATATTTTGTTCTGGTTTTGTCCCTCTTTTCATTTGTTCTATGTCTTTCTATTTCTCTGTTTTTTTCTTGCTCAGGCCTCTGTCTCTGCAGTTGTATCTGCTCCCCTGGTCTTAGCCTCTGAGCTGGCGCATGTGGGATTTCTGTGGTTGCGGTGTGTGTGGGGGGGGGGGTGCGTGTGAAGTGTGTGTGTGTGTGTGTGTGTGTGTATGGCATGTGTGGTGTGTGATGGATGCTGTGTGTGTGGTTGTGATGTGTGATATAGTGGGTGTGTGTGTCTGTGTCCAGGGCTCTGAATAGTCTCTCTGTGGAACCCTGGGTTTCTTTGTCTTTCCTCTCCTCTCTGCCTCTTTGTTTCCTGTGCAGCTTACTGCGTCACCCCATTCCTGCTCCCCACACCCTCTTTGAGGGTGTCCCTTAGCTCTGTTGTCAAGAGAGAGCAGGATGGGCAGGCCAAGGGGCTGTGATGACAGAGCTGGCTCGGGCAGCGAGGTCACAGCCACTGCTCACTCAGCCTGGAGTTTGTTCTAATGATTTTTTTTTTTACTATTGATTTCAGAGAGGAAGGGAGAGGAAGAGAGAGAGAGAAACATCAATGATGAGAGGGAATCATTGATTGGCTGCCTCTTGCATGCCCCCTACTGGGGATCGAGCCTGCAATCTGGGCATGTGCTCTTGACCAGAATCAAACCCGGGACCCTTAAGTCCGTAAACAGACACTGTATACACCGAGCCAAACCAGCTAAAGTTGGAGTTTGTTCTAGTCTCAGGGTTCACACACCTGTGTGCCAACACATAAAGCCTGTACAGGAGCAATGTCAGATCGACAGAGAGTGTGCACACATGTGCACACACACATGCAGGCATATACACACACACATGTGGGTCACCGTACTGCCCAGGGCCTCGGGCAAATGGTGACTGGAACTCCTGGGCCCGTGGCTGGTGCGAGAACTCTCGACACTCCTTTTCAGCTCAAACACCTGTGATGCTAAGGACTGCAAGTCACAGTGGCCCCTGGTGCACACAGGCACCTCAGCTGTCAGAGGCCAGGGGTCTAAACTGTTGCAAAACTCTCATGCCCTTTCCCCCCAAATGCGTTCTTAGTCCCTGCCCCCTGTCCTCACCCAGGTGGGAACCGTACTCCAGCCCTTTGCCCTCATCATCTCCTACAGCCTCTCCATAGCTGTCCCTGAGCCTGCCTGAGTGCTCACACCAAGGGGGCAATGCCTAGCAGCTTCAGGCCCTCCAGGCTTTTTTCTTTTTCTTTTTTTTTCCTTCACCAATTGTTAACGCAGGTTTTTATTTGGCTGTCTATACAATTTAAGCTATTAAAATTTATACAATATTTACAAATTAAATAATCATCTGAAACTCTCCAGCAATGCACGTAACACAAAACCAAGGAGGGGGCGGGGGGGCGGGGGGACAGGGACAGGCAGGCCTTGGCTCCTGTGTTCCCTACCTGCCCAGAGTCTTTTCTAAACTGGAAAGACCAGGAATCTGGCACTCCTTCTCCTCTTTTCTGGGGTCAAGCATTAAAATTCAAAGACAAAGTTAAGCCAAAGAAAATAGCAAGGAAGTTACTCCAACTCTTCTAAATTTAGGAAAAGTTCTGTAAGTTGAGAAGTGGTCTTCTGTAGATTCTGGGGCTTGCAGTGGTTCCAGAGCAGACACACAAGCTCAGCCTGGAGTGAGGCTGGGCAGTGGCTGCTGGGTGAGAGTCCTGGCCTGACTTTAACCCTCTCTCCAGGTCTCTGCTGGCTGGAGTCATGGCTCTTAGTCCCAGTGTGGCCCCTCTGGAGACAGGGCAGTGTGCAGGCGGGTGGCAAAGCCCACAGCTACCCTTCTCGAGCCTCTTCTCCTTCCTCCTGTCTTTCTTTCTTCCTTCCAGACCCCAAAGCCTTTTCCTTCCCCCAAGCTGGGCCTCTCCACTCTGCTGCCTCGCCCAGTCTCTCACCCCCTCTTACTTTATCCCAAACTCCTTCATATCAGGCTGAAGTCAACCAGGAATTAAGCCACTGAAATGTGCACAGACCCCAAATAACTTTCCAAATCTGGAGAGTGAACCACGAGGCTGGCTTCTGGAGGACACAAAGCAGAGGCAATGTCATGTGATCAGAATGGCTGCATTCCAACCCCGGCTCCCCTAGAAATCACTGTGTGGCCTTGGCCAAGTCACTTACCTTTTAGTGTCCGGATCTGCAAAAATAAGGACTCTTAAGTTCTTTTTTTTTTTTTTTTAATATATTTTATTGATTTTTTACAGAGAGGAAGGGCGAGAGATAGAGAGTTAGAAACATTGATGAGAGAGAAACATCGATCAGTTGCCTCCTGCACACCCTCTACTGGGGATGTGCCCACAACCCAGGTACATGCCCTTGACCGGAATCGAACCTGGGACCCTTCAGTCCGCAGGCCGACGCTCTATCCACTGAGCCAAACCGGCTTTGGCAGGACTCTTAAGTTCTTAAGTTTCCCTGGTCCTTTCAACAGGCAGCCCCTCCTCAACTCCCACCTGCAGGCACACTGGAGCTCAGAAGCACCTTATATCAGAAAGGGCTCTTCTTTCTCA